AGCTGGTCAAAGGTTTAAGACCGTAACTAAAAAAAAAAAAAGTCCTAAACGAAGAAGTAAATGCCTACGAAGACGTCTCAGTAATGAGTTGCATACCGGTCATTGTGAATAACTTTAAAAATTAGCATGTCCGATATAAGCATCAGCAGATTCTGACTGGAATGTTATTCCAAGAGGTAACTTTTTCAGACTTCCGTTGACATCTACCACCAAATATTTTCAATGGTGTTCGGATCGGCTGAATGGTCCAAAAAGATAACCTTATTCGCCATTAAAAAAGCCTTTCCCCTTTGTAATGAAGGCATTATGGATTGCAGCGCTGTCCTGTTGAAAGATCCAGTCATCTCTACACAAGCGAGGGCCTTCAGTCAATAAAGACGCTCTCTCCAACATGCCAATGTAACCAGCCGCGGTTTAATGCCTATGTATAACCCGAAGCTCTATGGTCCTTGGAAGGAGATAGTACCGCAGATCAGGATGAAATCTCCCCCTCTGTGTCGTGTAGAAAATATATCCGGCGGGATATCCTTATCGTGCCACTAACGTTGAAAGCCAGTAGGAAAACAGTCTTCTACTTTTCTATGCCCCGTGTTTGGCGCTTCTCAGCAGAGTTTAACCGTTTTGGCAGGAGGCGCGGGATTTAAAGACATTTACGGTTTTTAAAGCCTTCCTCTCGGATCGGAGATGTCGTCTTATTGTTCATGAGCTGCATTCTGTGTTCGGTTTGATGATCGGCTGTTGCCTTGCCGGAAAAACCATCGAATCCTCCCGCTCCCTAGAGCGACCACTTGGTATTCTCGTTTAGCATTCCTCAGGGATTTTTAATAAAATTTTAACAGTATATATATATATATATATATATATATATATATACTTACAAATTACATTCATAAATTAGATTCAAACTGATAAAGATGTTACTGTAACTGTTTTTTTACAATATTAAAAAAAGTACGATTGGTCGGGTAAACAAACTGTTATAATTTTTTTTTTTTAATATGTTCTTTATAAATGTGTTAATAAATATAGTTTTCAAATTATATTAAATCCCTAAACTATTTGTAAAAAAGTTAAATATTTAAATTGCTAACAAGCATCAAATTAATTTCTTCGGATTTTTTAGACATCTAAATTACTATCAAGCATTAAAATCTATTCTTTACATAAATTGCTTTAAAATTTGCCAGTTACAGCCTCTTTCTCTTTACTTCCCTCTCCCTCTTCTTTCTTTTTCCTTTTTCTTTTCTTCCTTTTCTCTCATTTCAATATATCACTTCCGTTAAGTTAACCGTTTAAATAGGTCAAGGTCTGGTCACTCCTCCTCCCCCAATACAAAGTATACTTGAGAGAGATATGAAATTAATCCCTCCCTATACTCTACCACGTCTCTTTAACTACCCCTTTTACACTTTCTGTTAAATTACAAAAACTTACACTACCCATCAATTTTAATTTCATCTTTCGTTTTATTTCATTTATGGAAGTGCTATCTGATGATCCGGCGTCCTTTAAAAGGGCTCTGATGAAATAAATTATTATAATGGTACCTTAAAGTGATCTGTTTTTCTTTAATATATATATATATATATATATATATATATATATATATATATATATTTTTTGTGATGCGTTTTTTTTTCAATTTGTCATACAGTTTTCACAATATTCTTCTTCTATATCTAAATGAATAAATTGCGAAATTGGAGCCCAGTTCACCCACGAATTCAGGAGTTTAAAAGCCTCAACTTTACTTTATAGTAATTTACACACGGTATTTACTCACTCTCCCCAATGAGATGAGACGTGACACAAGGTCTTTTTTAAGGTGGTGACCCGTGCGTGAACACTCGGTCAGGGAACAAAAATTGCCCACAGTCCCTGCAACCGTTGGTTGCGCTGGCCTCGGTGTGAGCATCGATCCCTCCTTATGGTGCCATGAGAGGGCGCAGCCTCGGGTAGCTATTCTCCAGGGCTGGGCACCTCTTAGTATTATTTTCCTCAGTTGTCACTCTGCCCTGTCACAGGGTAGCCCCTGAGCGCACTCTGCCCAAAGACAGAGACGTAACTGAGGGATGATAAGCGATGCGTTGTAAATTCCATTAAGGAGGAATTTACACACGGTATTTACTTGACCTCCCACTGAGTCAGGTTCTGTGAGAACCCGGGTGTCTTCACTCGGGCCGATGGTCATATTTTGTCCAAGCTGGTCAGAGCTGGTCTAAGCTCGTCTTTGCTGGTCATAGCCGGTTCAAGCTGCTCAGAGCCGGTCCAAACCTAGTCATAGCTGTGATACTACCAGCGCAGGGACGAATCCTTGTGACCGGTAAGTAGAGATTTACTTGATCACCCACTGAGTCAGGTTGTGACACAAGGTCAGTTTTTAACGTGGGGACCCGTGCTGGTTCAAACTGGTCAGAGCTGGTCTAAGCTAGTCATAGCTGTTCCAAGCTGGTCAGAGGTGGTCTAAGCTAGTCGTAGCCGTGATACCACCAGTACAGGGACGGATCCCTGTGTCAGTCCGAATGTGTGTACTCCTTAAGAGAGGAATTTACACGGTATTTACTTGACCCCCACACTGAGTCAGGTTGTGACACAAGGTCAGTCTTTAACGTGGTAACCCAATTTTTTTTTTCATTCGAGCTGCTGATCAAAGCTGGTCTTAGCTGGTCATAGCTTGTCCAAGCTGGTCAGAGCTGGTCTAAGCTAGTCATAGCTGGTCTTGGCCTGTCATAGCTGGTCCAAACTGATCAGAGTCGTGATACCAGCAGCACAGGAACGGAGCCCTGTGACCGGTAAGTATCTGAATATGTACACCCTCCAAAAGAGGAATTTACCCGGTATTTACTTGACCTCCCCTACGAGGTCAGGTTGTGACACAATGTCGGTTTAATGTGGGAAGCCCGAGCGCGTGCACCCGGGCAAGGAACAAAAATTCGACGAAGCCCCCGCGACCGTCAGTTGCGCTGGCCTCGGTGCGTGCACCGATCCTTCTCTCTAGTGCAATGAGAAGGCGCGGCCTTGGGCAGCTGCTCCCCAGGGCCAGGCAGCTCTCAGTATAATTTTTCCTCAGTTGCGACTCTGTCCTTTGACGGAGTCGCCCTTGAGCGCACCTTGTCCAAGGACAGAGACGCAAATGAGAGGTGATAAGAAAACGTGAAATTACCCCAAAAGAGGAATTTACCCGGTATTTACTTGACTCCCCAACCCCAAACACTGAGTCAGGTTGTGACACAAGGTCAGTTTTTAACGTGGGCACCCGAGTGTTTTCACTCGGGCCGCTGGTCTAACCTGGCCTTAACTGGTCATAGCTTGTCTAAGATAGTAATAGCTGGTCTTGGCTTGTGATAGCCGGTCCAAGCCAGTCGTAGCCATGATACCACCAACACAGGGACGGAGCCCTGTGACCGGTAAGTATCCGAGTGCATATACCCCTCCAAAGAGGAATTTACACACTGAAAGCTCAATATCTGTACTATATATTATCTACTTCCAGGTGATATCAGTTTCAGGTTTTACTAATTTGCATTGTGATTTTTAAAAAAGTAAATTTCATTAATTAACTGTCTTTCATTCTTTTCATATAAAAAAAATAGTTCTGTTTCGGAATAGTGTCTTATATAGGGCAGAAAAGTGTTTTAAATTTGCATTTTACTTAGTCTTCAACAAGTTGGCATCTATTTGTAAAACTTTCCTTAACTATAACAAGTCAATTTACGAATGAAATGTTCATTTAAAATTTTTGTTTCAAAGATTTCAAGTAGTCAATATATCTTACTTTGCGAAGCCTGCTAATTGATATATAAAATATATCTCGTTATCTCATATCATTGATATATATATATATATATATATATATATATATATATATATATATATATATATATATATATGATTTCTAATGAAATAATGGATTTTATTTATATTCCGACATTATTTCTTATTACCATAAACAATATAGTTAGTGGGTACACATGTTTGATTAGACATTCCCGTTTTTCTTTTTAAACGTGTAAACGTGTATCTATTTTCTTGTGCACACGTGGATCTTAATAAAGAAAATGTGATCCCGGCTGGGTTCGAACTTGCGTCGCGCTAGTAGAGGAAACTGTTGTATAAGAAGAGTTTTGTATTTTGACTGGTTTGAAGACTTTTGAAGTCAAAGTTCAGTTTTTCTCTTCTTGTCTCATTAGATTATTATTTGGGATATTTCCACGTCTCTGCCAAGAACTTTTTTTTAAGTTTCCATCTCATTTTTCTTCACCTGCTTTTCATCTTCCATTTGTTTCAATTTATTGTCATTCTCACTATGTCATCTCGAAGAATTTCCACCCTCCTCCTGCTCGTCGTCTTTCTCCCATCCTCCTCCTAAAACACACGGGTCCAATCTCGAAAGTGGCTCCCTGTTTCTCCTTCACCTCCTCCTCCTCCTCCTCCTCCTCTTCTTCTTCTTCTTGCCTTAAGATATTCTTTGTCACTCTTACACGTCCTCTCGAAACCTTTTCTCCTCTTCAATTTCTCATTCTCAGTCACTTTTCCGCTTCTTCTTCTTCTTCTCCCCCTCCTCCTCCTTCTTCTTCATCTCCTCCTCCTCCCTCTTCTTCTTGATCCTCTTCTTGCCTCAAGATATTCTTTGTCACTCTTACACGTCCTCTCGAAACCTTTTCTCCTCTTCAATTTCTCATTCTCAGTCACTTTTCCGCTTCTTCTTCTTCTTCTTCTTCTTCTCCCCCTCCTCCTCCTTCTTCTTCATCTCCTCCTCCTCCCTCTTCTTCTTGATCCTCTTCTTGCCTCAAGATATTCTTTGTCACTGTTACACGTCATCCCGAAACCTTTTTCTCCTCTTCAATTTGTCTTCTTCTTCTTCTTCTCCTCCTTCTCCCTGTTCTTATTGTTATTTTCTCTTCCTTCTCCTCGCTTTTCTTCTTTTCCTTCTTCTTCTTTTTCTTCTTCTCCCTCTTCTTCTTCCTCTTCTTATTCTTCTTCAACCCGAAAAGCTGTAATGATACAAAAAGACGCCATATTAAGAAGCAGCATTTTAGAATTGTATTCTCATCTTTTTTTTCTTTCTGTTTTATAAATAAAAGGAAACAATTTCTCAGAGCAAAAAAAAAATTATCTAACTGACCGAACGTGAAAACACCAACAAATAAAGGCGAACAAACATTAGAAAGTATAATATGCATATATATATATATATATATATATATATATATATATATATATATATATATATATATATTAATCATATTATACTTGAGATCATGGAGACATATATGCAGATACATGGAGACATCGATACCATAATATATGAATATAGTGGTATTAGTACAATAATTTATATAGAGGGTGACAGTGATAGCCTAATATAGGAAAAGCCTGACATTGATCCCCTAATATTTGTAAAGAGTGACATTGATGGTCGAATATATGAAATGGGGGATATTAATACCCTAATATATGTAAAGTGTGACATTGATGGCTGAATATATGAAATGGGGGATATTAATACCCTAATATATGTAAAGTGTGACATTGATGGCCGAATATATGAAACGGGGGATATTGATACCCGGATATATGTAAAGTGAGTCATTGTTAGCCGAATATATGAAATGGGGAATATTGATACCCGGATGTATGTAACGTGTGACATTGATGGCCGAATATATGAAATGGGGGATATTAATACCCTGATATATGTAAAGTGTGACATTGATGGTCTAATATATGAGATGTGGGATATTGATACAGTAATGTATGTAAAGGTTGTCATTGATGGTCTAATATATGGGATAAGCGATATTGATTCACTAATATATATATATATATATATATATATATATATATAAATATATGCTCCTAAAATATTTATTTCGGTTGAGCTCTCTGGGGAGGAAGTGTGAGTTTGTAAACAGTGACTATTACTGCTAATAATGCAAGACTCTTCGGTAAAGCGAATCGAGTTCTCTCATTCACAGTTTGTCTATCTAAAAATAAATACGCTTAAATTCACCTTCATCCCTGCCGTGCGCCAACGGCTTAGGGGTAGAATTTCTGACTGACGCCAAGTCAGTCGGGTCTCGATCCTAGCTAGAAACAACCAAACGTCTATCCACACTGATGAGCTGTGATACAGCGAAACAGTCTGTCTGTGGCTGACTATATATATATATATATATATATATATATATATATATATATATTTCGGCCTGACTGCCTGTGATGACATCCACTGGTTGAACTCTGTAATGTGTATATATTCGGAATCTCTGCTGTTGGAATTAGTCGTCTTAAAACTATTTTAATTTTGTTAGATGAATAAATCATTTGTATTCAGTACTATTTGAGAAATGTTCAGTAAAAGATTAGCTGAAAAACTATGGAAGCCGTGCCTATTAAATGGAGAATCTCTAAAATATGAATTCCAAAACTGAACAACAGGCGCAAATTAATTTCCAGCAATTTAACACAAAAACTAATTTTTATTTTTATGCGTCAATAATATTTTTTACGTCATTTTACGGTAATGTCTGGAAAAATACAGACACACACATAAAAAGATAGATAGATAGATAGATAGATAGATAGATAGATAGATAGATAGATGAGGAAGAAACATAGATAGATAGATAGATAGATAGATAGATAGATAGATAGATTTGCAATTGGTTAGATGTTCTGCATGAGTAATCAAGGATTTGTATCTAGACAAATCTGATGCTGCATGTTAGAAGGAATTTTGCTTTTAAATCTTCAAAAGTAAAAAAAGAAATTCATTGATATTTTCTGTGTGAGTAAACAGGATTATAATTTGAGAAGAATTTTACAACTTTATTCATTAAAAGTTTCAAAAAAAATCCCTTCCAAAAAAGCTTAAGTGCTACGTACCGTAAAACTATAAATAAAATATTCATTTTGTTTAAACTAATATACGAAAATGGCGACATCGTTACCCCGATATATGTAAAGTGTGATATTGTTACCTTACCCTGGGTAACGGGTGATATGTAATTGAAATATCTAAAGCAAAATAACATTTAAGCAATTGTGTTAATTGCACCAAAAATTATTGATCGAATTTTTCTTTTTATCCTTTCACCCTATCAAAGTGACAATGCTAATAATATGCAAGGGACTACTGAGGCTGAAAGATAATTGAATGTAGGAAACTGAAAAAAAAAGTTACTGAGGCTGAAAGAGCAAAAAATAAGCTGGATTCGAGGAAATAGTACTTTTATATTTTTGACGATTATATTTTTTGTTTTTTGCTTTTTAGTATATATAAATTATTTTTTTAATTAAGTATTACTTTCTATTATTTATCATTTAAACAGCTATGATAATAATAATAATAATAATAATAATAATAATAATCATGAAGACCACAAACAAAAAGCGTGCCTCCTTATTGATATGGCAGTCCCTGCAGACTGCAATGTATCTTTGAAGATATGTAGTTGGAGCCCTCGGATTGGTTGGAAAAGATTCCAGTAGACTAATTGAAGGGATTCCTGGAAACCCATACCTTAAAGAAATACAAAAAATTGTTCTGTCAAGTAAAGCTCACACTTTAAGAAGGGCTATAATAATAGACATTGTTATTAAAGACCACAAACAAAAAAGTGCCTCCTTATTGATATAGCAGTCCCTGCAGACTGCAATGTATCTTTGAAGATATTCAAAAAGCTATCAAAATACAAGAACCTTGAAATAGAAATCTCGAAAATGTGGCATATGGGAACATCAACAATCTTTGTTGTAGTTGGAGCCCTAGGACTGGTTGGAAAAGATTCCAGTAGTCTCATTGAAGGGATTCCTGGAAGTCCATGCCTCAAGGAGATACAAAAAATTGTTCTGACAAGTACAGCCCACACTTTACGAAGGGCTTTATTTATGGAATTTTTTTTCCTGTCAGTGGAAAGTGTCATGATGTCATTTCTAACCTTAGGTCCCTGGGAGGGACCCGGAAAGAAATGTGTACACACCAGAAATCAAAGGAAATAAAAATAATAATAATAATACCTGACATCGTGATTAGAGATCGCAAAGACAAAATGTGTCTTCTTATTGATATGGCAGTTCTTACAGACTGCAATCTATCTTTGAAGATCTTCAAAAAAAACTATCAAAATGCAAGGACCTTGAAATCGAAATCTGAAAAATGTGGCACTTGAGGACATTAGCAAATCGAATTGGAAGAAGGCTCCTCGGATTGATTGGAAAAGATTCCAATAGACCTCTTGAAGGAATTCCTGGTAGCCCATGCTTTAAAGATCTTAACAAAAAAACTTTTCAAAATACAAGTCAAAAAATGATTTAGTATTTTGTTAGGTAACCTTTTGCTTTAATAACGGCCTTAATTCTTCGTAGCATGCTAGAGATTAAATTCTTTAGTAAGTGAACGTCCTTCGCCAGATTTTTCCAGCATTTCTTTAATTCACAAAAAAAGCTCATCTTCTGTGGGAACTTTCCTATTACGGGCATGCTTGTCCATTAAAGGCTTCAATTGGTTTAAGGTCAGGATTATGACTCAGCCACAGGAAGAGTTGCAAATTACTCTCGTCGCGCTTCCTCTCTAGATAATGTTGAATCTTTAAGGCAGTATGCTTAGGATCTTTATTCTTTAAGGCGGTATGCTTAAGATCTTTATTCTTTAAGGCAGTATGCTTAAGATCTTTATTCTTTAAGGCAGTATGTTTAGGATCATTATCATTACTAAATCATTTGTTGACTTATATCATGTACATATGTGCACCCGTATTAATGCCCTGTACTAATAAACGATTTCTGTTATTCAGGTGTCTTGGTAAAAATACAAAAATCGACTTTCTATGAGTACGTCCATTTTTTGCCTCGTACTGTATATATATATATATATATATATATATATATATATATATATGTATGTATGTATGTGTATATATATATATGTGTGTGTGTGTGTGTGTGTGTGTGTGTGTGTGTGTGTGTGTGTGTGTGTGTGTGTGTGTGTGTGAAAAAGTAATACGTGGGTAAGCAATCCAAGTAGATCCTATTGATATAAAATATTAAAACTGACCCACAGAAGAGAGCTCAATATAATTTTTATTATAGAGCATATAAGTGAATTACAATTAATGAGATTTAAACAATTTACCTCATGTAGATGATCATTTTGTCCATGGGAGAGTAGTTTTTCCCTGGACTTATCAATGCAAATACATTTACTAAAACGGTTTTAGCAAATGTATTTGCAATGATAAGTCCAGTAAAAAAAAATACTTTCCCATGGACAAAAATGATCATCTGTATGAGGTAAATTGTTTCGATCTCATTTTCAATCCTAGCTAGAGGCAACCGGACGTCTAACCACACTGATGAGCTGTGATACAGCAAAACAGTCTGTCTGTAGATGACAATATATATGCTCCTGAAAAACTTATTTCGGTTGAGCTCTCTGGGGAGGAAGTGTGGGTTTGTAAACAGTGACTGTTACGGCTAATAATGCAAGACTCTTCGGTAAATCGAATCGAGTTCTCTCAGTCACTGTGTGTTTATATAAAAATAAATGCGCTTAAATTCACGTCCATCCCTGCCGTGCGCCAACGGCTTAGTGGTAGAATTTCTGACTGACGCCAATTCCGTCGGGTTTCGATCCTAGCTAGATGCAACTGGACGTCTAGCCACACTGATGAGCAGTGATACAGCGAAACAGTCTGTCTGTGGATGACTGTATATATATATATATATATATATATATATACAGTCATATATATATATATATATATATATATATATATATAGATAGAGAGAGAGAGAGAGAGAGAGAGAGAGAGACACACACACACACAGACGGTGGAATAATGGATAGCGGCTTGGATTGAGGAATCGCAGAGCCGAGTTCGAATTCCAGTCGAATCCATTACATTCACTTACGTCCTAATACCCTTGGGAAAGGTATGAATCCTCTTACTCCCCCTCCAGCTATGGGTAAAATAGCAGGTCAGCCTTGGATAGCAAC